CACATCATGTTACTCAATCCGCAATATAGCCCATCTGTTCAGCATTGTTTGATTTTATGCAAGCTGCTGCATTTTGAGGAGCTGCATCAAAAACCTGGGGGTGTTGAGCCATCCTTGCGTTTAGGGACATTACATTTCATCGGGTGTTGCGGCACCCATGCCTTTGTGGACGTTCAATTTTCATCTGTGTCAGGCAACCGATCTTGTCCTTAACGTGTTTATCGCCGTCGCAAGTTTATCGGCTGGTGACTGTTTGTTCCACCACCGCTCCTCGACGTCTCTTTACGTCGTGACCGCATGTCAGGCATCGGTCAGTACCTTCAGTGGCTCTCAAACTTCTTCGTCCAGATGCGGACGGCACAGCTGGCGCCCTAATCCTGCTTCACCGACAACTAATGCATCGCTACTAAGGAAGCGATGCATGTCCTTCATTTTTTTATGTTGAGTATCACCCAGGATGAAATCATTTTAGCCTGATTTTTCATATCTGGCCGGAAACATTGTCGACATCGCTCTTCTCTCAATGTGTTTCACAGGTGTTGGTCGCACACTTCAGTGTCCCCACTGCAACGTCAGATGTCTGGGACAACAACATCTGGACAGACACGTGAAGATAAGTCACGGTCACATCGGCAGGAACGGCAGGTTCAAGTGCGAGTGGTGTCAATACTCTACCGACAAGTCCACTCATATGAAATACCACCGGAAGACTCACACGGGGGAGCGACCCCACTGCTGCTCTATCTGTACGGCACGGTTTGCTCAGCGGTCCACCCTCATCACACACACGCGGACCCATACGGGAGAACGGCCGTATGCCTGCTCCCTCTGCCATGCACAATTCGCTGACCAGGCGCACCTCATCAGACACAAGCGAACCCACACTGGGGAGAGGCCGTATGGCTGCTCCCTCTGCAAGGCACAATTCAGTGAACGGTCAAAACTCACCGGACACATGCGAATCCACACTGGGGAGCGGCCATACAGCTGCTCTATCTGCAAGGCGCGGTTCCTTGAACGGTCACATCTTACTGCACACGTGCGGACCCACACTGGGGAACGGCCGTACGGCTGCTCCATCTGCCCGGCACGGTTCACTAAACGGTCTACCCTAACAAAACACATGTGTACCCACACAGGGGAGCGGCCGTACGGCTGCTCAACCTGTGCGGCACGGTTCACTCAACGGGCTTATCTCAACGAACACATGCGGACCCACACGGGGGAGCGGCCGTACGGCTGCTCACACTGCCGGGCCCGGTTCACTCAACGGGCACATCTCACCAAACACATGCGTACCAATGCGAAGTGCAACCGCACTGCTGCCACTTCTGTCTAGCGGTTCGGCAGTTTGAGGCACAAAAGTCAGTTTTAAGTGGTACACAGTTTTGAGAATTACACAGGTTTGAGTGATGCGGTAAATGTTTTGATTGGCGAAATTCAATGGTGAGAAATGTCAACAAGTTCATGGCCGGCCGCCGTTGTGCGTTTGATATTAGCGTTGTATTAGCGTAACACAGTGCTGAGGCTTCACGACAAGTGCATGACCAGACCCCGTTGTACGTTAGTTATTCGTGTTATAGCTGTGATGCTCGTTTGTGAGCTTCGTGGCTACCCGTCTCATATCTGGTTTGTTTGTTCTTATCCAGTGTGATTCAGTGGTTGTGTTTTACACTAGCCGCCTTAACCCGCGCCCCACGGGGGGAGGGGGCCGGGGCTATGCATAGCTCTCCTCCCGTTTTTCTGCAATAACTTCCAAACCGCTTGACGTATCGACGCCAAACTTTCAGTACCTTCGGCTGCATCAATTTGATACCTTGTGTCGAAAAAATGAACTTCGTAGTTCGTAGCTACTATAGGTCGGCCGGAAATGACGTCAGAGTGACGTCATGTTCGGCCGATTTCGACGCAAAACATTGAACCACGGCAATCGCTCCCAAGAGCTCAGTTTTTAAGCTAGATCCAATTTCTTTGCATGAAAGGACTCAGAATAGACTGCGCTATCAAACTGCTATCTCGGATTTTCAAAATTTTGAAAATTCCGAAAATTTTATATGATAAATTCAAAATTTATGTTTCTATATTTTTTTCAAAAAGTTTTCGATTTTTCGAAGCAAAAAAAAAACGGAACATATGTGATAGAACACATGCTTTTGGCTAACTCTAGCAAGTTTTAGCTAATTATCTTCAAAAATGGCCAAGTGATGCGCATTATTGCAAAAAAAAAATCACAAATATTAATTTTTCAAATCAATTTTTCAGTACGTATTTGACATCGTGCACCAATATAAATAGCACCATCGTGTTCCTGAGCTCAAACTGCATCCAATAGACACCTTTTTTGTTGAAAAATTTTAACTTCAAAATTTGACCTTTTTTGACCTGAAAGTGACCTGACCTAAGCTAATTTCGACTCAAAACGACCTCGAATAACACAGACGACATCAAATTCGAAATCTATGGCCTAAATGGACCATTAAACATGTGTCACGTGACCGACGTATGATAAAATATTTCCGTGACCTGTGATGACCTGACCCTGACCTGAAAATCAAAGTACAAGTTTGGTACCCTCAGGATATCTAGAGCATCTGTTCAGTGTTCACGAGTGTGTAAACCAAAAATGAGCCTGATATGACTTGTAAGGCGGCGGCCAGAGCCCAAAATGTGAAGAATCAAAAATGCTAATAATTTTTTACTTTGACCTGACCTGTGACGTCATCAGTGACTTCTAGGTGAATAAAATTAGGTTTCATTCGACAGTTTTTTCCGGAGCTATCAGACGCCGTTTGAATTTTGACGATCGGCCCAGTAGTTTCGGAGTTAGGAGGGGGCTATGGAGAGCCCCCCACCCCCCAGTAGGGCGTGTTATACGCAGACCCCAGTGGGGCGCGGGTTAACATAGGAGGTAAGGACTGTCGCTGCTGTTTGTTAACACTACAATTTGTGTGAGGAATATCCGGTAATTTTGAGATAATGCTTCTTTTTTGGCTTCGGCTCCCTCTCGTATTCGCAGTATTTCGTATTATCTGCGCACTTTTGTGGACAAGTAGCGTATGTCGTATGTCAAAGTAGCGTATGTCAAACGTATGTCGGCATGTCGTCCAGATGCTACAGGTCTCTATTCATCCTGTATAAACGCAGCCCTTATTAGATATGTGCTGTTTGTTTATAGGCGCGACTGGATGTTTCTGGTCTTGCAGCCTTCGGCGGACTACGTGCCGCTAAAGGGTGAAATAAAAGTAGTATTGCTAGATAGAAAAATGTACCTACTGACTTACTGAGTTTTCATCTGGACATATGTGTATGGATCAATACCTACCCACTACTGTGCCGCAGTGTTTTGTTTATGTACATTTTCAAGTTCAAATTCGGCCATTGCCATGGCCGAATGAACGCGTATTAGGTAATAAAGAAAATGATCGCTACTACCCTTTCCATCATGTATGTATGTAGGTATTTCAAGTGACCATCCCACCTTAACATTAGTTTTGAGTTGAGATAGCCAAAATGGGGTCCCTGGCCTGCACTTACCTACTGGTTCAAGCATTCACAACATCGATAAATGCCTCAAATCGAAAATATCTTATTTCAAAGTTGCAGCACTTTGGATTCAAAGGGACAAATGGGTTAGAATGCCCCCTCTGAATGTGTGACGTCAGCGAAAATCAAACGATTTTAAATCTTTTACTAAAGCGTTTGGTAGCACGCGGTGGTATATACTGCTTTGCCCGCAATAAGTGACGCACTTTCAAATAAAGTCGCTAGGAACAACGGAGATCCCAAAAAGTAAACAAATGTAAAAGTCTAATATCTTGAAAACCGGTGAATATTTTTTTCGGTGAACGTTGGTAAATATTCGTTTTTGCTCTTTCTGAACCGAGCGACATCACCTTCATGCCATTCATTAACTTTTTGAAGGCGGGAGGGCCCCTTTGACCTAGTCCGTGGTGTAAAATACGAGAAGTGAAGGCATCTACTCCAACCAAACAGACATTGCTCAGATAAATAACTGATTGCGTTTTATCGGCTCTTGGTGGCTAACATTTTAAAAAATATATTCCTTGGCGTTGGTAAACAGGCCTTTTTCATAGATAAGTTGGCTCTAAGTCCTATCTTAGTGCGAGTTGGTAAATGTCAAGGGAGCTTTGCATTCCTTAACCCACGAGCCGCTGGGGGGGGGGGCATAAAGTTGCCCCCCTTTACGTTTTGTGACATATCTCCGAAACCTGATGAGCTACGAACGTGAAACTTGGCATAGCTTCAAATGAATACCTAGGCAATGTTTGAGGAAAGTTTGGTGGTTGTAGCACCTAAGATGACGTCACAGTGACGTCATAAAGTTTTGCTGTTTTCCGATATGGACCGTTTCTGATGACGCTGAGCATGAAACTCAACTGTAATTGAACTAGACAGCACCTGCTGTCATCCTAAAACATCTAACTACACTTCCATCTAGTTTCTGACCAAAAATCGGTCCTTTATATTCGGTCCCATATATCTGATGTATCGTAAGGAATATGAGAGTCGCAAATCTATAATTTCACTTATGACGTCACTGTGACGTCATCTCAGATGGGATCAACACCAAATTTGGGCACAACCTCGGCTAGGTATTCAGGAAGATGTGTGCAAAGTTTCGCTTCTCTATCTCTTCGCGTTGCGACGATATCGTGGCAGAAGTAAAGAGAGGCAACTATATGCCCCCCCCCCCCCAGCGGCCGGCGGGTGGCGCGGAAGCCCAGCGGCCGCAGGGTTAAGAGCTCAACGTTCTCTTTCTGATGGCTGTATTTCGAACGATGAACGGATCAACTCATGGGCGCTGATGGCTTGTCTCGTCAACATAGCCGCTCACCGCCCACGGCACTCATCAAGGTGATCTGGAAACGCGACCCGTTGCGTGGGTCATCTCTGGGCGTCGGTTTTGTTCCGGTGTGTGTGCTACCTGCTTTGTCACGGAACTTGGTTAATGGTATTTCTTCTTTCTGTGTATTCTTCAGGTATCAGTGGCTCGGTCCAATGTCCCCACTGCGGCTTCAGATGTGTGGGACAACATTATCTGGACAGACACGTGAAGAAAAGTCACAGTCGCATCGGGAAGAACGGGAGATTCAAGTGCGAGCAGTGTCAATACTCGACCGACAGGCCCGACTGTATGAAAAACCACCGCAGAACTCACACAGGGGAACGGTCATACGGCTGCTCCATCTGTACGGCACGGTTCACTGAGCGGTCAAACCTCAACAGACACATGCGGACTCACACTGGGGAGCGGCCGCACAGCTGCTCTATCTGCATGGCACGGTTCACTCGATGGTCATACCTCACCGAACACATGCTGACTCACACTGGGGAGCGGCCGTACGGCTGCTCCATCTGCAAGGCACGGTTCTCTAGGCGGTCAAACCTCATCAAACACATGCGGACCCACACGGGAGAGCGGCCATACGGCTGCTCTATCTGTACGGCACGGTTCTCTGTTCGAGCAAGCCTAAACAACCACATGCGGATTCACACTAGGGAGCGGCCATACGGCTGCTCCATCTGCACGGCCCGGTTCACTGAACGGTCCACCTTCACCAGACACGTGCGAACCCACACTGGGGAGCGCCCATACGGCTGCTCTATCTGTACGGCACGGTTCTCTGTTCGAGCAAGCCTAAACAACCACATGCGGATTCACACTAGGGAGCGGCCATACGGCTGTTCACATTGCCATGCTCGGTTCGCTGAACGGGGAAACCTCAAGGCACACATGCGGACCCACACTGGTGAGCGGCCGTACGGCTGCTCCATCTGCAAGGCACGGTTTACTCAAGGGGCAAATCTCACCTCACACATGCGTACCCACACTGGGGAGCGGCCGTACGGCTGCTCACACTGCCAGGCCCGGTTCACTAGGCGGTCACACCTTAACGAACACATGCGAACCCACACGGGGGAGCGGCTGCACGGCTGCTCCATCTGCAAGGCACGGTTCACTAATTGGTCACACCTTAACGAACACATGCGGACTCACACTGGGGAGCGGCCATACGGCTGCTCACACTGCCAGGCCCGGTTCGCTAACCAGTCACACCTCACCGGACACATGCGGACCCACACTGGGGAGAGGCCGTACGGCTGCTCCATCTGCACGGCACAGTTCACTAAACGGTCAAACCTCAACAACCACATGCGGACCCACACTGGGGAGAGGCCGTACGGCTGCTCCATCTGCCCGGCACGGTTCACTGCTCGATCAAGTCTTATCAACCACATGCGTACCCATACGGGGGAGAGGCCGTACGGCTGCTCACACTGCCAGGCTCGGTTCGATCAACGGGCAAAGCTTATCAGACACATGCGGACCCACACGGGGGAGCGGCCGTACGACTGCTCACACTGCCAGGCCCGGTTCGCTCAACGGGCAAAGCTTATCAGACACATGCGGACCCACGTGAAGAGCGGCCGCACGGCTGCCACTACTGTCTAACGGTTCAGCAGTTTGATGCAAAAACTCGATTTTAACTGGTGCACAGTTTTGATAATTACACAGGCTTGACTGATGCGGTAAATGGCTTGATTGGAGAAATGCAATGCTGAAATATGCCGACAAGTGCATGACCGGCTGCCGTCATACGTTTGATATATTATATTATTAGTGTTATACATCTTTTAACGCCCAATTTAGGGCGGCAGTGCGCACATTTCAGTAATAGTGCGGGCGATTCCGACAGTATGCTATGGTCTGGGCGATTTGTCGCAATCGGTTGCACTATTACTGAGCTGCGTGCACTATGTCTATATTTAGCCGTAAAAAGGTGTAGCTGTGGTTCTCGTTTGTGAGCTTCTTGGCTACCCGTGTGAGTGTCACATCTTGTTTCTTTATGTTAACACACGGTGATTCAGTAGTTGTGTTCTAAACTATCCGCCTCCACATAGGAGTTAAGGAGTGTCGCTGTTTGGTACAGTGTCGTAGCGCTGTAATTTGTGAATAATGTCCAGCTACGTTGAGGGACAATACATTCTTCGTGACCACCACTCATTTCTTTATTCATAGCATTTCTGCGCGGCCTTTGTCGACAAGGCAAGGCCGAAAGGAGATCGGCGTGGCATGTAAAGCTTACAATACCAGTATAACGCCTTTTGGGGCGACTAACGGAGCGAGCGAGAGGGTGGGTCTTGCACCGTGCACGTGCGAAATTGTGAGGAGGTACCTCCAACTGACTTGTGCACAGCACCCTACTAACCGGTCTCTAGCGATGTGCCAAATTTGAGGACAATCGGCCCAGCCGTTCTCGAGATCTGGAAGCGGCACTCTGCACGTGCGCACGTGCAAAATGGGTCCCAACTGACTTTTGCACGGCACCCTACTAACCGGTCCGTAACTGCGTACCAAATTTGAGCGCAATCGGTCCAGCCGTTCTCGAGATCTGGAATAGACCCCTGCACGTGCGCACGTGCAGCAGCACCCCAACTCTGGCACATGGATATGCATTGCCTAGTGGGTGCATACCTACGTGCCAACTTTCAGCGCAATCGGCCAAGTACCTAGTTACCGAGATATTGCAACTATTACAAAACTGACACCCCTTCGTTTTGCACGTGGCACGTGCATAATGGGTCACCCACATGCATCGGGAATAGTCCAATACTTGGTAGAAGGAATGAAGCTACCCTACAAAAATTACCGCATGTAAATCGGTCAAGTGGTTGCTGAGATATAAGCCTCGCAAAAGCGTCCGCACGGCCGGCCGGCCGGCCGCTCATACTCAGAAATTTCCGTTAATCTAAAGAAAGACTCCGCTCGCTACGCAGACGACTCGGCCCGGGAGCGGACCGTCCACTCGGAGACGTCTGGGGAGTCTGTGACTTCCTCTCCGGCCGGACCTTCATCTTCAGGTCAGTTCATCGTTTGCGGCTCTGAGAGCTATGGTGTCCATCGAAATGATCCTGGAGATATTTTCTTTCTCTACCAACACTCTTGACTATGCTCTTGTCCGGTCCGTTCATATTTGCTTGTTTTGTTGGGTTCGGCCCTTTCTGTCCTATAAGACCATTTCAGAGCCGGAAGGATGATAGGGATTAGGGGAGGCATTGGTCTGGGCAGGCACCCCAGTGAGTCACCTGGGGTAAACCTCCACCCAGCCCACTGGCACTCACTGCACCCGGCTACGGGCTAGCTCCAGTGGAGCCATTCCCGTATGGGTTAGAGTTGCTCGTCCAGCCCGGAGCAGGGGGTTTTAGGCGTGGAGGAGAAGAATTTGACTGTCCTGAGGATGGAAACGACGGAACGGTCGGTCCGTTCAGTTAAAGCTGGTCTAATGTTGGTATGTAGGCTTGACGTATATTTACCAAACTACATGGGTTTGGTCTGTTGAACTGACATTTCGGTTTGCGATCTAATCCTTGCGCTTGAAGGTGAGGCGGACTGCCTCTGGTTTTGGTCAATGGTTCCCGAAAGAAACTTTAACATATTGTTCAGTAACGTATATTTGAACATTTAGCCCGGGTCGGAGGGGAGGGGGGTGTTTTGACCCACGTCCTGTTTTTTCGGCATATATATAAAAAACGGCTTCGTGGAGCGCTGCTATTTTTAGCACACCACTTCATGCACCTTTTCGGCACATGTTGACCTAAGATGACCTCGGGGACGTAAGGATGGGTCACGGGTGCCATTTTCCGGTCATTTGTGTCATGTTTACTTGTAATTCGTTGTTTGAAAGTGTTTAAAATGACGTTCGTTTAAAGTAGGTACCTTCCAATTTTCTCCCATTGCACAGTGATGCAAATGGGGTTCACGGGTGGCCATAAATACCGAAAAGTCAAGTTTACCAAACCGAGTAAATCGCGATATGGCCACCCAAAGAAATGTTTGGGGCATTTGAAATCACATAGCTTTCATGTTTTTGTCAAAACCAGCCTCGTGTATGATTGTCAGAAGTCGTGACATTTTCTATGTCGCAAAATGACTGTCAGGTACTTGCAAGTTCAAACGCCGCTAGCGTGCGTTCATTTCATACAAACTGCAAAAATTATACATGGCAATGATCCCTAAAGCCTGCTGCTTCTAATGCCGGGTCACAAAATGCCGTATCTTTTTTTGGTTTGGCGGTGATCTAACCATCTGTCATCATGTTGCAGTCGCAGTTTTTTACTTAAAATTATTTGCTTTCGTTTCACCTACAGCAGTCTACACAGTGTGTGCCCGTTAGTCCACTATGCCTTAGCCTTCCCCAATCATTTCTGAGCCACACCGTGAAAGAATTAAGGCGCTAACACAGGGCAGACCGGCGCTATTGAAGTTTTTGTCCGGCGCGGTCGGGAGTCGCGGTGGGCGGCCGGTGGGCGGGATTGCTTTCACCCGCGGATTGCAATTTCGACAGACGTTTGACTTTGACCTGCTATAAGTAGGTCAAATATTGACCTTAGGTCAAAAGTAATATGCTCACTCGCGAGATCTTGTCAAGAGCAATCCGTTGGTTTTTGTCGCCAGGCGCTAGGACGCTTCGTTTAGGAACAGCAGGGGGATGCACCGACGAACCCCAGCTGTGGCCGCCCGCCCGCGGCGTGGCCGCCCGGGCCGCCCACCGCGCCGCGACACCCGACCGCAACGGACGAAAACTTTAATAGCGCCGGTCAGCCCTGCGCTAGCGTCTTAATTCTTTCACAGTGCGGATCAGAAATGATAAGAGAATGCTATGGTATGGTGGACTAACGGGCACACACTGTGTAAACTGCTGTAGGTGAAACGAAAGCAAATATTTTTTAGTAAAAAACTGCGATTGCAGCATGATGACAAATAGTTAGATCAACGCCAAACCAAAAGAGATACGCCTTTTTGTGACCCGGTATTGCAAGCAGCAGGCTTTGGGGATCATTGCAATGTATAATTTTTGTCATTTGTATGAAATGAACGCACGCTAGCGGCGTTTGAACTTGCGAGTATCTGACAGTCATTTTACGACATAGAAAATGTCACGACTTCTGACAATCATACACGAGGCCGGTTTTGACAAAAACATGAAAATCATGTTTTTTCAGATACCCCAAGCATTTGCCTGACTAGCCATATTACGATTTATTCGATTAGGTGAGCTTGAAATTTGGACCTTTTCGGTATTTATGGCCACTCATGAACCCCATTTGCATTACTGTGCATTGACTCATATTGGGGATATCGCAATACTGAACTGACCTTAGGTGGCTGTTATCCTTAGGTGGCTGTTATCAAAGTTCCGAGAGTATATATTCTGTACATATTGTTTCTGTTATCAATTGCTGAAAGTTCAAAGCGATCGGTCACTCGGTGTAGCTATGGTAGGCATTGAAACTTTATTGGAAGTGAGGTCACTTGACGTGACCTGATGACCTGACCTTGAGTGACCTCTAGAGCTCCTCGTCGGGAGCAGCTCTAACGTGCCGGCCGTCAACAGCGTCAAACATCTGGCCAAGATCCGTCTGGTGCATGTTTAGCTGCCGCGCGATGTTCAATAGCACGTGGTGTCACAGAAAACCACTATCAACGACGAGCATTTACCGGAGCTCCTGGTCAACGAATGGTTTGAGGCGCTCAAACGGACGACACAGGAGGGCTCAGTTTCTGAAAGCGTACGGATGCCTGGTTCATACCACGCTGTCTTCATGCGGGATGGCCGATGGCGCCCCACCTCAAAGTCTCTAGAAGAATGAGAAGTCATGCTGAGAGAGCCTCCTATCTTTCTGGGTTGACGGGCTATGACTTAGGAATGGTCCCGATCTGGAATCTGGAATCGGTACCCTGCACGTGCGCACGTGCGAACTGCGTCCAGTGTGACTTTCGCACGGCACTCTACCAACCGTTCCCCAACTGCTTACCAAATTTGAGCGCAATCGACCCAGCCGTTCTCGAGATCTGGAAACGCCTCCTGCACGTGCGCACGTGCAGTAGCACCCTAACCGTAACGCATGGGAATGGATTGCCTAGTGGGTGCCTACCTGTATGCCAAGTTTCAGGGAAATCGCCCCAATAATTTCATAGTAATTGTAATGGGAACAAATTTGACACCTCTTATTGTTGCATTTTGCACGTGCACTGCGGGTGACCCACATGCATCGAGAGTATCTGATATTTGGTAGAAGGGATGCAACTACCCTACAAAAATAACCGCAAGTCAATCATCCAAGCAGTTACCGAGATATCGACCTCCCAAAAGCGTCAATTCTGTAGAACTGCTTGAACACCCTTGCTTTTCACCTGGCACGTGCCACGACGGTCACCTGAATGCATCAAGAATAGCCAACCACGGGGTAGAAGAAATGGGGCTACCCAACAAAAAAAGACCGCATGTCAAACGGCCCAGCGGCTGCTGAATTATAAGCGCATCAAAAGCGTTACAGGCCGGGTCGGGCCGCTCATACTGAGATTTTTCCGTTATATTGACTAGCCGGTCACTAGCGGTGTGTCAAATTTGGAGGCAATCTACCCAGCCGTTCCTGAGATCTGGAAGCGGCACCCTGCACTTGCGCACGTGCAAACTGGGTCCAAAGTGACTTGCACGGCACCCTACCAACCGGCGCCTAACCGCGTACCAAATTTGAGCGCAATCGGCCCAGCCGTTCTCGAGATCTGGAAGTGCCCCTTGCACGTGCGCACGTGCAGTAGCACCCTAATCGTAACACATGAGAATGCATTGCCTGGTGGGTGCCTACCTACATGCCAAGTTTCAGCAAAATCGCCCCAGTAATTGCCGAGTTATTGTAAAGGGAACAAATTTGACACCTCTTATTGTTGCATTTTGCACGTGCAGTGGGGGTGACCCACATGCATTGAGAGTATCCGATGTTTAGTAGAAGGGATGCAACTACCTTACAAAATTACCGCAAGTCAATCGACCCAGAGCGGTTGCCGAGATATGGGCCTCTTAACCCTCGCCGGCCGAGGGGGGGGGGGCGGGTGCCGCCCCCCCCCCATAGGGTTTTTTCGCGATAGCTCCGAACACGCTGGCGATAGAGAGCTGAAACTTGGCATACCTGACCTTTGATCCAAGCCGCATCTTTTG